GATTTAGAAATAGAAATCATGCAGAATCAAGTAGTAGCACCTGTTAACTATCAATTAGTAAAATTATATATCGATTTAATTCCAAATTTTGATGGAAATCCACATACATTAAATATTTTTATTGATTCATGCGACAACTTGAAAAATACACATGGTATGGCAGGTGAAGATCCTTTCAATAATTTTCTTATGAGAGCTATAATTGGTAAACTGACTGGCAGAGCACTTGCATTAATCGGTAGCCGTATTGAGCTTAGAAACTGGGACGAAATCAAAGACGCACTTAGATTAAGTTTCGGTGACCAAGATCTTATTTCATTACATCCATTAAGAAACGAAAATTCTTACAGTTTTGGCATCGAAGTATTTAAAACTTCCGACACCCATAAATTTTATCTCTTTAAATTTCACGATGAATATGATGGAATAATTGGTTGTGACCTTTTAAAAAAATTAAAAGCCACGGTCAATATCAACAAAAAACTTCTTATCACTCCACTAACCCAAATTAGAATTAACTACGATTCAGAAAAAAACATTGAATTAAAAAAATTCCTAAATACAATTCCTCACACTCTATCAATTCCCCCTAGTACAACAAAAATAGTAGCAATTCCAGTAACCCAAAACCAAGGTACAGGATACCTGAACTTTATAAAATTTCGTGATCAAATAGAATCCCCACAAGCAATAGTCAACATTAAAAATAATTTCGCAATTACCTCAATTACAAACTCTTCAAATTTAGCTTCCCAAATATTAATCAATGAATCCCTTGAATGTGAACCCCTTGATATTAATGAAGTAAATTTTATTGAAAAAATGGAAACTGATCAAGACTTTGAAATCCCTTTTAATATCGATAATATGCTAAAAGAAAATTTAAAAAATCTTAGAATTAATCATTGTAACCCCGAAGAGAAAAAACAAATCAAAAATCTTTGCTATGAATACCGCGACATATTTTTTCATGAAGACATTCTCTTGACTTTTACAAATCAAATTACACACAAAATAAAAACTAAAGACGAAAATCCTATATTTACAAAGACATACAGATACCCTGAAATCCACCGAGAAGAATTTAGGACCCAAATTAATAAAATGTTAAACCAAGGAATAATCCAAGACAGTACTTCACCCTGGTCATCCCCTTTATGGATAGTTCCAAAAAAATTAGATGCCTTTGGTAAACGAAAATGGCGTTTAGTAATAAATTATCGCAAACTTAACGAAAAAACAATTGACGACAAATACCCCCTACCAAACATTCGTGAAATACTCGACAAACTGGGAAAAAGCCAATACTTTACAACCCTTGATTTAGCTAACGATTTTTATCAAATAGAAATAAACAAAGACGATATTCCTAAGACAGCTTTCTCAACAGAACAAGGACATTACGAATATAAACGAATGCCCTTTGGTTTAAAAAATACCCCCAGCACCTTTCAACGTGTTATGGACAACATATTACGTGGTATACACAATGAATGTTGTTTAGTATACCTCGATGACATTATAATTTACAGTACTTCCCTACAAGAACACATTTCCAGACTAAAATTAACTTTTGACAGACTTAGAGCCGCAAATTTCAAAATTCAACTCGACAAATCAGAATTTTTACGAAAAGAAGTAAGTTACCTCGGACACATAATAACCCCAAATGGAGTCAAACCAAACCCCGAAAAATTAAAAGCAATTAAATATTTTCCTATTCCAAAAACCCCCCGTCAAATTAAAAGTTTTTTAGGCCTTATAGGTTATTACAGAAAATTCATTAAAGATTTCGCAAAAATTGTAAAACCATTACCCCCTTTGTTTAAAGAAAGATGCAACAATTATACATGACTCAAGATTTATTGAAGCTTTTGAAAAATGCAAACAAATTCTTTGCAATGCTCCTATCTTACAATATCCTGATTTTTCTAAACCTTTTATTCTAACAACGGACGCATCAAATGTAGCGATCGGCGCTATCTTAAGCCAAGGAACCATCGGTTCAGACAAACCCATAGCTTATGCCTCACGGACACTAAACGAAACAGAACAAAAATACTGCACTATTGAAAAAGAACTCCTTGCCATCGTTTGGGCATGTAAATATTTCAGACCATACCTCTTTGGACGAAAATTCACTATTTTTACAGATCATCGACCCCTAATTTGGTTATTTAAATTAAAAGAACCCAACTCTAAATTAGTACGTTGGAGATTAAAATTAGAAGAATACGATTACGATATAATTTATAAAAAAGGTAAATTCAATACAAATGCGGACGCATTATCTCGTATACAAATCAATGCAATAGAAAATGAATCCATAATAAATAACCCTGGAGACACTGACGAAAATATCGTAGATTATCTTAGAAATTTAGCAGAAAAACCCTTATCTGATACTGACGAACCCCACAAAAAAAAGTAAATATAATTTCAGACATACAAATTCAACCCCCTGACAATAAAGACGAATCTTCCTCAGAAACACAACACAGTATAAATACAGACTCACACACAGGTATAAAAATTTTAGATGAAATCATTAATAACACAGTAAATCAAATTCTAGTATACTCTCAAATATATCCAAAATTAGATGTATCTCAAGAAAATTACCAACACCATAAAATTGTAACAGTTAAAATTCCCGAAACCAATAACGAAAACTTTATTTTTCAATTTTTAAGAGACTATATTACTGCAGGAAAAACTTTTTGTATCTATTTTCAAAATGACGCTTTGTACAATTGTTTTAATAAAGTATACATGGAAAGATTTGTAGAAACTAAAGTTAAACTCATTCGCTGTACAAAACTTGTAAACACTGTGACAGACAAAGACGAACAAATCCTTTTAATTAAATATGCACACGAAAGTAAAACCAATCATCGCGGAATTAATGAAACCCTTTTAAAATTACGACAAAATTATTATTGGATAAAAATTAAAGATGACGTAACTCAATACATAAATAATTGTGACATTTGTCAAAGAACAAAATATTGTAGAAAAAACCCTTATGTACCTAGTGTTTTAACAGCAACACCTTCCAGACCCTTTCAGATAGTCCACATTGACCTTTTCTTTTATAATAAAAATATACAGGGTGTTAAAAAAAAGTGTCACAAAATGATATGGTGAATAGTATGACCCAAAATGAGCAGAAAAGTCTTAATAAATATATGACCGCAAATTAACGGTTTCGGAGATACGGACCATTTTGTGTTTATAACAATTTTTTATTATTATAAAAAAACAATGATATTTATAAACAATCAATAATAACATAGAGTTAAATGAGATATTCAAATACTGATGTAGCGCTTCCCTCGCATTGCCATTTGCACGACCGTACATAAAATGCATGTCAGCTAATTCAATATTAGTGTAAACAGGCATAACGAAAATTTATAAAATTATTCACCCACAACAAAATAATAACTGCAAATAGTATCTATGAAAACACATCTGTAGACTCCGATAAGAAAAGCAAGTTTTTGAGAATGAAAAAAGATAATCAAAAAATGATACAAAACACAAAACACTCCGTATCTCTGAAACCATTCATTTGCGGACATATGTTTATTAAGACTTTTCTGCATATTTTGGCCCATACTACCCCCCGTTTTATTTTGTGACACTTTTTTTAACACCCTGTATATCTAACTCTAGTAGATTCCTTTACAAAATTAGCACAAGCCTACCCTGTACAATCTAAAACCGCTATAGACATTACAAATGCCTTAATTCAATACTTTTCAGTCTACGGAATTCCTGAACAATTAATAATAGATAAAGGTACCGAATTTAACAATGAAACTGTTAAAGAAATTTTAAATCTTCATAAAATAAAAATTCACTTTACTACCCCCCATCATCATGAATCCCAAGGTACTATAGAAAGATTGCATTCAACCCTGATTGAACATTTAAGAATACTCCAAGAACTTTACCCAAATGAACCCACTAATAGACAAATTATCTACGCAATTATTGGTTACAACAATACAATACATTCTAACACAAAATTTACCCCTTTTGAATTAACTTTTGGACATACTAACAACAGAAATGCAACAGACATATTTCTACCTAAAATTTTTTATACAGATTTCGCTGAAAACCACAAAAATAAATTAGACAAAGTATACACTGACGTACAAAAGACAATTTCCGCAAATAAAGAAAAAGTAATTACTAAAAGAAATATACAAGGTAACGAAACAAAAGAATTTAAATTAGGTCAACAAGTTTATTAAAAGAACCCCGAATCTAGAAACAAAAAAACATAATAAATTTTTAGGCCCTTACGTAATTTCAGAAATTTTAGAAAATAATAAATTCGAACTAAAAGACATTTCTAACTATAACAGAAAAGAAATTGTTCATGCAAAAGAACTAAGAAAACCCATTTTAATTACAGATACCTCCTCATCTTTACCCTCTAATTCAAAAAGACAAGATCGACAGTGACAGAACCAAAAGTACATGACCTAACACAAAATTCTGGTATATTACCCTTAAAATTAGGAATAGCAAAAAATAAAATAGACACTTGGTCTTTTATACAAATATTCGATATAAGCGATACAATTAATGAATTCGAAAAATTACAGAGTGAATATAAAAAATTACATTTTACAGTTAGACAAGCTAACACAACCTACTTAAACTAATTTGGAAATTCCCTCATTTTAGGCACAGCCCTTGAACAGAAAATTACATCTCAATTAAATCAAATTAATCCCACCTTAAATAAGCGAACAAAACAAGGACTAATTAACGGCTTACCATTTTTAAATCAATAACAGGTAATTTAGATCAAGACGACGCTGAAAGATATGACCAAATGATTCAATCTTTAATGACAAATCAAGATAAATTAAAAACGATTACACTTAAAATTAGGAATAGCAAAAAATAAAATAGACACTTGATATTTTATACAAATATTCGATATAAGCGATACAATTAATGAATTCGAAAAATTACAGAGTGAATATAAAAAATTACATTTTACAGTTAGAGAAAAAGGACAAAAATCAATTGATACATTTCAAAATAATACCAAAAAACTATGGCGTAACGAACAAGAACTTGCTTTAAAAGTAAAATTAATAGAAAATATAATTAAACAAGAAAAAGCATACGTTTATAATGTAGAACAAATGTTTTTAATTCACGTAACTGCCACTCAATTTGCACAAGCTTTTCAAAGAATTTATGACATATTAGAAAGACTAGAAATTGCCATTACCTTTGCAAAATTAAATACATTTCATAATAGCATGGTGGAATCAACAGATTTATTATCAGAAATAGTTAATATTCGAAAAATTATAGAAAGTAACTATAGATTACCTTTTGAACCTAAACTAGAAAATATATTATCATTTGAAGGAGTACTCGAAATAAAAAGTTATAATAAGAATAATCAGATTATTTTTATCATTGAAGTTCCTTTAGTCGAACCTATAACATATAATTACTACCATATCTATCCCTTACCTACTTCTAGAATACAAACCTTTAAAATGATTATTCCCCATTCAAAATACCTTCTTCTTCATGATACTACTTACCTACGATTCGAACAAAAAATTTATAAAAATCCTACTATTGAATTTAATCCAATAAGAATACCAGAATTAAACATCGAAGTAAAATCAGAAGAAGACGATAGAAACCACATCGAATTGAAGCCACTCCAATTAGACTCAATAAACTTGGATGAAATTAACAATTTAAAATCAGCTTTAGAAATTCAAAAAATTAAAATTAAAAGTCTACCTAAAAATATTTTCATTCCACAAAGTACGAGCTACATTTCAATTTTAATATTAATAATAATAGTAATTCTAATTACTTTATTTATTTGTTTAAGAAAAAAATTTAAACTTTTCAATCTAATTCAAAAATGTATCAAGCCAAAGAAGAAAGAAAATCCGAAGAAAGAAATTTATTTAAAAGAAATTCCAGAACGAATGTCAAGACAATCTAACCCTGTAATTTCACTCTAAGAAGGGAGGAGTTACAACCCCAATCCAAGGTGCGGTCCACCCACATAAATGCGGATCCAGCCTAATCAGCAGGAAGCTTATCAACCTATAAATACCATTGTTCTCAATTTTAGAAGCAGATTGATTATAGCCACTCGTAATTACTGTTCGGGAGAATCTCTGTTAATTTTCGAAATAAATTGTTTTTTAAAAAGTATTTTCACGCTCGTTTAAATTTATTTCCCTCGTATCTACATGCAATTGTTAAAATTATGAATGAATGCGGATTTTGTTTAGTCTTAGAATTAATTTTGTAGTATTTAGGCTCCACCCTTAAGTTGTAATTTTTATACCTACTAAATTACCGTTGCCCCGCAGGTCTTTCAGTTTGTAATGTAAATTTTTCTCTTAAGATATGCTATTAAGAACCGAATTCTCGATAAAAAGTATACAAAAGAAACCAGTTAGGTAACTTGCTACCACATATTCGTAGTAAACATGGTATAATGGACGGGGTCGAAAAACTAGAAAAATATATGTTTGGCACACTTGACGCCGATGACGGTAATCGGTACGATAACGCTATTAAAAGTTTAGAAAGAAATCAGATAAATATAATCAATGAAATAAATTCTCAATCAAAAAATTTGATAAATAATTATAATAAAACAATTAACATTATCACTGAGTCAAGAAAAATTTTCGAACTCTCTCGAATATTTTCAAATGTCTGTACCAAAGACAATAACTCAATAGCATGAGTATCTTACTTTTCAAGGTATTTTACAAATAAATTTAGGGCCGTTACTTTCAGTCTTGATTAACTATATATAACAATTGAATAAATTTATCTGACAACTATGGATACTTTCATCACCAGTTAGGAGTTAAACACTGTAAAATAGCCATTGCGGTAGTGGTTACGATTATAATCAATTTTTATCTGACATTGATGTTTTATAAATTAATTTGAAATAACTTACACAAAGTAAGTAATAATATAGTTTAAAAATAAAGCTTGATATCTTAATGATGTATTTCATGATAAAGATGAAGGAATAGTGTATTTTATAAATACACACATCGTTAAAATTCTTGGACCCCTTATGTTTGTCAAAATAAGACACTATTATTAAAAGTCAACAAATCTGTTACATAGTACTTTTAATTTGGTTATGTATCCAATACAAATTGGCTAAATTAAATTTTAACTGAACAAGAAAAAAATACAAACGAAAAATAGTGCATAATAAAATGATTACTAGAATTTGAATTCCAGAAGAAAACCACTAGAGCGAAATCAAAAATTCATTAATATTCGGTGTATCCTCCTCTGTTCTTTTGTAAGGTATTAACTCGCCTGTGCATGGAAACAATAAGGGTGTTAATGTAATCCATTGGTATGTTGTTCGATTCTTCTTGGGCCGCGACTGTGAGTTCCTGGAGGATAACAGGAGGATTAATTCTGTTTTAAATTGCTATTCCAACGAAATCCCACATGTGCTCAATGGGATTTATATCTGGCGAATTCGCTGCTTACGGTAGTCTTTGAATATTTTAAATTTCTAGTGCATTTTTATTTTTCACGTGCGATGGGGCCTAGCATTGTCATCCATGAAAATATAATTAGCTCCAATTTCATTTTGGAGAGGATAAATAATGGGTTCAATAATGTTTCGAACACATCTATCAGCTGTCATAGTGTCTGGAATAAGAATAAGCTGCATACGACGACCATGCATTATGCCTCCCCAAAACATTACTGTTTCTCCTTGGTATGGAACGACTTATCTGGCAAAAGATAGTCTTTCTGGTCGCCCTGGCTTCTCCAAACTCTATGTCGCCGACTATCACTAATTAAACCATATCTGGTTTCGTCCGAAAAAAAGAACATTTCGCCACTGAGCTAAAAGCCAGTCGCTGTATTTCTGTGCCCACTGTAGACGAGCTGGGTACTATTAATGGTCTTAATGATCGTAAATTGGCTCCACCAAGTCTTCGCCGTATTTTAGTACTGGAAATGAATCGACCATACGTTCTTCCAAAATGAGTTTGGACAGCTGAGACTGCTACGGTTCGATTCAGACGTACATAACCTGCTACATACCAATATTATCTTGGATTAGTTACCCTAGGACGCCCAGTCCTACGTTTCTAGTCAACACTGTTAGTTTCCTGGTACAAACGCACTATTCCGATAACTAAAGCGCAAGGAATTCCTAGTCTATCTGCGATTCGATGATTTGGCAGACCCTCATCATGCAAAGCCACTATTCTATTGAACACTGAAATTCTATTGCCAGGCATAGTTGCAAAGAAAAACTCAATAATCACTTAAATACGCAAAATCAATATGAACCACTTTTTAAACATTTGTAACTAAAATTGTGGGAAATTGCTTTTGTAAAGATTTTTAGATTCGTAACAACGATGAAATAAATAAAGATTAAATGTACAAAAAAGCAGCCATGATAAATATTTCGTTTTAATATTTACACCCCCTCGTAAATTGACGTAAATTTTAGCGATGTGTGTAGTATGGGGACTTATATACTTCCCTGAGTAAATTTTTTTATTGAACTAGAATTTTTAAAGGAAATTTGCACGCACGCACGCACGCACGCACGCACGCACGCACACACACACGCACGCACGCACGCACGCACGCACGCACGCACGCACGCACGCACGCACGCACGCACGCACGCACGCACGCACGCACGCACGCACGCACGCACGCACGCACGCACGCACGCACGCACGCACGCACGCACGCACGCACGCACGCACGCACGCACGCACGCACGCACGCACGCACGCACGCACGCACGCACGCACGCACGCACGCACGCACGCACGCACGCACGCACGCACGCACGCACGCACGCACGCACGCACGCACGCACGCACGCACGCACGCACGCACGCACGCACGCACGCACGCACGCACGCACGCACGCACGCACGCACGCACGCACGCACGCACGCACGCACGCACGCACGCACGCACGCACGCACGCACGCACGCACGCACGCACGCACGCACGCACGCACGCACGCACGCACGCACGCACGCACGCACGCACGCACGCACGCACGCACGCACGCACGCACGCACGCACGCACGCACGCACGCACGCACGCACGCACGCACGCACGCACGCACGCACGCACGCACGCACGCACGCACGCACGCACGCACGCACGCACGCACGCACGCACGCACGCACGCACGCACGCACGCACGCACGCACGCACGCACGCACGCACGCACGCACGCACGCACGCACGCACGCACGCACGCACGCACGCACGCACGCACGCACGCACGCACGCACGCACGCACGCACGCACGCACGCACGCACGCACGCACGCACGCACGCACGCACGCACGCACGCACGCACGCACGCACGCACGCACGCACGCACGCACGCACGCACGCACGCACGCACGCACGCACGCACGCACGCACGCACGCACGCACGCACGCACGCACGCACGCACGCACGCACGCACGCACGCACGCACGCACGCACGCACGCACGCACGCACGCACGCACGCACGCACGCACGCACGCACGCACGCACGCACGCACGCACGCACGCACGCACGCACGCACGCACGCACGCACGCACGCACGCACGCACGCACGCACGCACGCACGCACGCACGCACGCACGCACGCACGCACGCACGCACGCACGCACGCACGCACGCACGCACGCACGCACGCACGCACGCACGCACGCACGCACGCACGCACGCACGCACGCACGCACGCACGCACGCACGCACGCACGCACGCACGCACGCACGCACGCACGCACGCACGCACGCACGCACGCACGCACGCACGCACGCACGCACGCACGCACGCACGCACGCACGCACGCACGCACGCACGCACGCACGCAGACACACAGAGACATCATCGCGAAAATAGTCAAAACGTATTCAAGGGACCCTAAAACGTAAAAATCCGTCGAAAACTCGAGGTCGAAAAAATCATGGTTCCTATAATTTTCTTATCTGTATACAGATAGGAAAGTAAAAAGGTATCAACTTAGTATTCACGCTGTATAATTTGTGGTTCATAAAATTATTATTTATACTCCAAATTGTATATTACAACCTAGAAATATCAGAAGAAGTATGTTCTGAAAATGTTCGTGAAAATCCAATGCATATTTTTTTAAATTAATGACAGGATTTAATTTAAAATATAAAAAATAATAAAACTAAAGAAATGTGAAATAAAGTTTGGATAGTTATTTGCTTGGGTTGAAAGTAAATTATAATTATTATTTTAGTTTTTCTAAATTTTCTAGTAAATGATTGTAGGTATGCCAAATATTGTGAAATATATTATTATATTAAGATATCTAGTACTATTAAGTCACGTGAATTTGAAGTTCAGCCTGTTGGTTTTCCTTACCAATCCAAATAGATTGTAAACGAATTGACAATGAACAATTATTTGAAATTGATTTTTTTAGTCAACCACTCCTACTAGAAAAGCTGTTGTTGTCTTTATTATCTTTTCTCCTCGACTCAACTTTTCTTCAAATTTCAGGACACAACAAGTGTGTTTGGCTGGGGGACTGGAGTTTCCTTCAAATTAACAAATTAATGTAGTTAGCAACGAGGTTATCTGCCACTATAACGAATTAATTTTCTGAAATGAAGTTGTATTTAGAAATTTGCAACATTAGAAAAAGATGTGACAGTAACTTCGTTAGGGATTAAAGAAAGTTACGTTTTAATTTAAATAAGCGTTATTAAAAATACTAAATGAACAAATAGAAGCTATAAAACCAATTACGTTTCAGAATATAATATGTTACCATTTACTATTAAATTATTAATAAATCAGAAAATGTAGCAACCGGGAACATGTTCATATATTACAATTATTTTTTGGTACCATTATGCGGGTCGTGTCAGCCCACGGGGGTCGGATTCCATGTAAATAGTTGGTAACAAGTTTGCTTGACCTCGACAGTAACGCGCTAAGCGCT